GCCTAACATATAGTTATCTCTCAATGAATGTATTAAGTACAAGAATCAATTGTTCAAGTTGTTTGTTTTTAAGTGAGATTCAACCCTGGAAATGCATCTACTTATACCCTATATATTTGAAGATTAAATGATCACTTAGATTTTTGGTATATAACTTTTTCAGTATCCGTTGTTAAGAGGAAACATTTTCCCCCATCCTAATTTTTTTTGTATGTTTGCTTGTTTGTTTTGTGGGGTATTTTATTTTTTTGTTTCTTTTTTTATTTGACGGAAGTCCTACTTGTGTGCATTCCTGGCATCTCTACTTTCTCTTTTATTCCTCCTCACATATGAGTTCCTAATCAGATGGAAGAGTTTGGAATGAAAACTGCTTGTGCTAAGCCAAGTCCCTTTCCTTCACTGTCAAAAGTGGACCTGCCCACAAAGAGTATGGATTCCCAGTTGCTATTATCAAACAGTCAACTTGGCCATGAAGATTCTGTTTTCATGATGAAAGTTTTTGACTGCTGGAAATTCTACCAACTTTTGAGTTTTAATATCAGAAAACTGGTTTGTTTATATCCCATTATAATTCACAGTGGCCAGTGAGAGTAATTTTAATAATAAAGTGGATATTTTTATTTCCCATTTGCCTTTCTCTTTGGTCTTTTTTTTTTTTTTTGGACTTGTTTAGAATTGAGGTTGGAATACTGCGTCTTTGTACCAAACGACTGAAATCCCACACATATTTTAAATTTACTTATGTTTGCATTATGATGTAAATAAAAATGTATTACCCACCATCACTAGTATGTCTGTGACACTGAATCCATATATCTGAAGGAATCTGGGAGTATACAAGAATCTAGACATGGAAAATGTTCACTATGATTATGAAAATAAATAAATAAACTTTTTTAATCTGCTGTGATATCAAACAGAGACATGGCCTCTACCTTACCTCCTATTAACATTACTGTGCAATGGTACTCAAATAACTGTTGGAGAGAGAAAATATAAGACTCAGTCACCTAAGTGGTACCTTATTAGAACATTCAGATTCTTCAGGCAATCTTCACTCACAAATGTTATTTCCACAGATTCTAGCATGCTATTTATTTAGTGTGACTTTCATATTTATGCATGTTTCATGGCTCCACTTATTCTATTTTCCATTGAAAATAAGCCTCTAATGAATAAAATGCTGTCTTTTCCACTTTATTAAGTAAACATAACACAGTGTAAAACAATTTTAAGTCGAAGTGTCATATCAGAATGTGTCTATTTGCTAATCAATCATGATTGTAAGTGACAAAAGTGGTTTGTATTTTCATTTGATAACATTATAATAGTATAAAACATAAGAGATTAAACAAATTACAGTCATATTAAGGTACATTTTCAAGGAGAGTGGGAAAAATAGTTTCTCATCGCTATCTAATTGCAGTTCTAAGATTTCACTAAGACACTACCCCAGGGTATCAACTTTCATTTGGCAGTTTGCATTTTCCTAGAGGGTTTCTGTATTTCAGTTAATTTTCAGTTTATTTTGTCTGGAAAAGCATGAGCCAACAATAAATGGTACACCATTACTCATTTCTTTAATCAGTGTTTTACACTCAACTTAATTTTTCACTCATAAGGGCTGTTAGTTCAACATTTTTACAGAGATCCATTAACAAATCATACCTAATTTCTTTTTCCTTAAATCTAGAGCAGGTAATAAAACTGATTAAATATTTGTAAAGGTAAATCCTGTAGAATTCCTAAAAATATATTGGATGACATTTATACACAGTATTGTCCTACATCGTATGAAATTTCATGTGCCAAGAACCAAATAGAGTCAATCCAAATTTTCTCAGCAGCCTCGAAAACTTTATTAACTCATCCAGTTAAGTAAGATATTGTGGAGACACCGTTGTAGTAATCAGTATGCTACTTTATTAGATATTGGCGATTTCTGTCCTTCATGCTGTGTGTGTAGCAGGCAACATCTTTGTACTGAATAAAAGTCTTACTCATTTCTTGTTCATATCCTTTCTTTCTATGTATATTTTTATCTACAAAATGTATAGAACATCTATTGTATTTTATTTCTTTTGATTGTATCTTATTTTTCAATTTCAATAAAAATATTATTGGACTTATATTATGCTTTCAATCTAAAATTACTAAAAGTAACAGCAACTGTATGGCATCTTTTTTTAACAGAAGTATAGTTGATTTATATTATATTAATTTCAGATATACAACATGGTGAGTCAGTATTTTTGTAGATTATAATCCATTTAAAGTTATTATAAACTATTGACTATATTCCTTGTGCTGTATAATATATCCTTATAGCTTATTTAATTTATACATAGTAGTTGGTGTCTCTTAATCCCCTAACTCTATCTTGCCTCACCTGCATTGCCTCTCCTGACTGATATCTACTAGTTTGTTCTTTATATCTGTGTGTCTGTTCCTGTTTTGTCATAATCGTTAGTTTATTATTTTTTAGATTCCACATGTAAAGGATAACATGCTACATTTGTCTTTCTCTGTCTGACATATTTTACTAAAGCATAATACCCTCCAGGTCCATCCACGTTGTAGCAAATGAGAGAATTTCCTTATTTTTTAATTGCTTTCAGTAATAGTCATATATATGAAATATATATGCAACAATATATACATAATAAAACCTGTTTTTAACCTTCTTTATTCATTCATTTGTTGAGGGACACAAGTTGCTTCCATATCCTAGTGTCAGTGCTCAGTTGTGTCTGACTCTGTGCTACCCCGTGGACTGTAGCCCTCCAGGCTCCTCTGTCCATAGGATTTTTCAGGCAAGAACACTGGAATGGGTTGCCATTTCCTCCTGCAGGGGATCTTCCTGACTCAGGGATTGAACCCACGTTTCCTGTGTCTCCTGAATTGGTAGGCTGCTTCTTTACCACCAAGCCACCTGGAAAGCCCTCTTCCATATCTTGGGTATTGTAAATAATTCTGCTATGAATATTGGTGTGCATGTATCTTTTTGAATTAGAGTTTTTATTTTCTTGGGTTGTATACCTACCAGTGAAATTGCTGTATCACATGGTAGTTTTAGTTTCTTGAGGAACTTCCCTATTGTTATCATGGTGGCTGCGCCAAGTTACTTTCCCACCAGCAGTGTACTAGGATCCCGTTTCTCCGCATCCTCACCAACATTTGTAATTTGTAGGCTTTTTTTATTTTTCGACTAACACTTTCACTTTAAAGTTGTACTATCACTTTTTTTTTTCCATTTATTTTTATTAGTTGGAGGCTAATTACTTTACAATATTGTAGTGGATTTTGTCATACATTGACATGAATCAGCCATGGAGTTACATGTATTCCCCATCCCGATCCCCCCTCCCACCTCCCTCTCTATTTGATGATAGCCATTCTGACAGGAGTGAGGTGATGTGGAGGTTTTAATTTTAACTTCTCTGATGATTCACTAAAGTCTATATCTTTGGAAAAATGTTCATTCAGGTCTTCTGCTCATTTTTTTTATCAAGCTGTTTGCGTTTTGATATTGTGTTGCATGAGTTATTTATATATTTTGGATGTTAATCCCTCATCCATAATACAATTTGCAAATATTTTCTATTTAGTAAGTTAAGTTGTCTTTTATTTTGTTGGTGGTTTCCTTTCTTCTGCAAAAGCTTTAAAATTTTATTAGTCCCATTTTTTTTATTTTTGTTTTTGTTGCTTTTGCTTTAGGAGACAGATTAAAAATATATATTGCTACAATTTATGTTGGAGGGTGTTCTGCATATATTTTCTTTTAGGAGTTTTATAATTTCTTGTCTTAAATTTAGGTCTAAAGTCCACTTTGAGTTTATTTTTGTAAATGTAGGAAAATCTTTCAACTTCATTCTTTTACATGTAGCTTTTCAGCTTTCCCAGCACCACTTACTGAAATAACTGCCTGTTTTTCCATTGTATGTTCTTTCCTCCCTTGTCATAGATTAATTAACCATAGGTGTGAGAGTTTGTTTCTAAGCTCTTAACTCTGTTCCATTCATCTATGTGTCTATTTTTGTGCCAATACATACTGTTTTGATTATAGTATCTTGGTGGTATAGTCTTAAGTCAGGGAGTATGATACCTTCTGCTTTGTTCTTTTTTACTCAACATTGCTGTGGCTATTCAGGGTCCTTTATTGTTCTATATAAATTTTAGGAATATTAATCCTAGATTTGTGAAATATATCATGAGTACTTTGATAGGGATTGTATTAGATCCATAGATTGCCTTGGGTAGTATGGACATTTTGACAATAGTAATTATATTTTTTAAGGTATAAATGGTGTTATATTGGAAAAGTGTGACAAAAACTGATATTGACTAACCAACACCTTTAAAAGGACAATAAATGTTTAGTTTACACCTCATCTTTCTTGCTATAGATTTGAAAAAAAACTCAGAAATTCATACTTATAACTGGAGAAAATTAAACTGTCATATACAGAAACAAGAACTTCTCTTTTGTTGAGCACTCAGCAAATGTTCATCCAAGGACTTATGATATGTCAGATATTGTATTTTAGGACACTGATGCCAGATAATTCCTGTGTTTTTGTTTTTTTTTTTCTATTTTTCAGAGTTGTTCACACTGGGTTACACTCTATGAAATTTCATCTTTTAGGAATTCACATAAGTTAACTAGAAACTTCTATATTAATCAAGAATCTTTTGACTTCAAGTTAATGAAACCCTTCTCAAACTCTCTGGGATAAAATGACACATTCATCTCATATTTCTACCTCTTTTTAATGAATCGTCCTATGTGGTAATGATTGAAAAGCTAGAAACTATACTACTTAGACTTCTTCCACTTTAACTTCTATCTGAAAAAAAAATTCTTCCAATTAGACACCCTGAAAAGACAATGATATGATGGAAAGCAGACCGAATCTATGTGCTATTAATGTTTATTTTTACTGGTCAGCAAGGTCATAAAGAAGTAGAAATTTTCTGCATCAGCATTCTATTGTTTCAGCTCCAGCCTTGTGGTGTTGAGTGACAGCTGTGGTAGAATGGACAGCCAGGTACCATATTTCAATATGTAGTCTCCAGTTTTGATGATGTCAAGAAAAGATTCTGAGGTGAGGAGCTTACTGATTCTCATTCCTGCTCCTGCATTGTGTTCTTGAACTAACAGTTCTCACTTCAATTCTGAATATAGCCTAGGTTATAGACTCCCTGTCAGGACAGTTCTCCAGTGTTCTGGAAGTCTTTTCTAGAGGTTCAACACTCTGGGATAGCCAATCATTTCATAAGCATTTAACTCACTCTTTAATTTTTTTCTGCTTAAAATATCTTGTGGTTTCCATTTCCTGCAATGAACTTAATCAATATATTGGCTTTAAGCTACATTGAGCTGTAAAGAGAATTTACTGGCTAATATAACTGAAACACCAGGCACAAGTGTGACCTTAGACAGGATAGATCCAGAAGCACATAGATGCCAACATAATACAGTTTAGCTCTCTGCTTTGTCATTTTATTATCTTGGCTGTGTTCTCAAGTATGATAGAAAAAGTCTATGACAACCCAGCTTCTCTTCTTTCCAGATTTGAGTCCAATAGTAAAGACAATCTGCTTCTTTAGTAACCACTGCAAAAGCTGCAGTGAGTGCTATTGGCTCTGGTTTGTTCACATGCTCATTTCTGATCTAATCATTAGCTAATCATTAGGGCCAAACGGATTAAAAACAAAAAAGTCCCAGTTATCTTATTTGTGCATTATATAATACCAATGGGACTGAAGCAAAAAATGAGCTCCACTCAAAAGGAATAGTCAAAGAAAATTAGGATTTCCCCAAAGAAATTCGGATGCCATGAACACAAAGGAGAAAAACACATACTTCATAGCCAGACAAGAAAAGTCCACTGTATCTTTTCTTAAATTATGGCTAATTTTCATTGTTGTACAGCAGAAGCCACAACATTGTAAAGCAATTATTCTCCAATTAAAAAAAAAAATGCAACCACTCCTTTGAAGACTGCCATTTTAAACTCATTTTTATATTAGTAAAAATTTACCTTTTTTCAGTTTTAATAGAGCATTGTTAAGTGGAAACAATTCATTTAAAATATTTATTAAATTTATATGATGTTGTAGACTGTATTATCAGGCATTCCATAAAAATTGCCTGTAAGAATCTTACAAACTGACAGTAAGGTAATTGAATAGTTTATTGCAAGTAGAAAAACAAAAAAAAATCATGATAAGTAGAGATATTGATACTCAGGTGAAAGAAGAATTTCCTCAGTTGGTGAAATTAAGGAAAGTTTCATGGATATAGTGATGTCTTAATGAAAACTCACATACTCAGTTGGATTATGTTCATGAAGGTGGATAGTGGTCAACACAGATTTATTACACATGGGGTTAGAAGAATAATTTACTGAGAAATTAATTGAGAATTTGTAAGGAAGGATTTTCTGAGAACTTTAATATTTGTTTTATAATTCCGACATTTTCAGTACATAGAATGATAACATAAGGATAGAAAAAAAATAGGGTCTTCAGAACATTGGAGAGGGTAATTCAACAAGATTTGTTGATTTTATATTTTGTTTGTTTTTGTAATTTATTTATACATAATTTCATTCCAGAAAGGAGTTGAAATTGCTGATCTGGCAACTGAGATAGGTAGGGTACGTGAGGAAGAAATAGTGATGATTTTCAATAAATATGTGTTGAGAAATAAATTAATTTACTGAGCTTTGGTGAATGGAAGGTAGTAACCTCACTACAGGAATTACATAGGTCAGGAGGGGGTTGATTTGTGGAGATAATAGGAATTGACAAAAGCATACTAGAGCAGACACTTTTGTATGTGTAACTACCTGAATATATTATACAAAAAATAGGCAATTTAGTTTCTGTGGCAATCTTCACAAGCTGTTAAAAACGCTCTCATTGAACTTCAGTTGTGGACAGAAAGCCAAATATCCTGAGTAAAACAAAGCTTTACCCTCCCTAAGTGGACACAAAGGAAGCAGAACTGATTTTGTTTGTGGTGTGGTAAGACTCCCAAATAATCCATCTTTTACAACTATAATTGGAAGATTGCTTCAGGCCACTTGAAATCAATGGGTTTACACTGCATTCTATAAGTACCTCAGTGTCTCTCTCTTTTTTCTTTTTTTTTTTCCTCTCCAGAAATTCATGAATGACCAGTTTTTATGACCATGGATGCACTGATGACATCATTGCTGACTGTCCCAGGGAGAAGCATTGGACTCTCCATTTGAGAAACAACTGCTTTAAAATAGCCAAAGTCATAAATCAGTATGTTCTTTAAATGAAAGTAAAACATTCTCAATTTTTTAGAACTGTAATATCGTCTTGACTTGCAGGTTAAAAATGAGGACAGGAAAGAAGGCTCGGAGATTTGCTCACATTAGTGGAATCACTGTAATTTGAGGCGTAAATTGGATCTGGATACTGAATAAAATCAAAGTTTCTTATTTTGCCTATGGGAACCACACTTTAAGGGCTTCCCAGGTAGCACTAGTGGTAAAGAATCTGCCTGCCAATGCAGGAGACATTTAAGAGACATGGATCCCTGAATCAAGAAAACATCCTGGAGAAGGAAATGGCAATCAACTCCAGTATTCTTCGTGGAGAATTCCATAAACAGAGGAGCCTTGTGGATTACAGTTTGTGGGGCCACAAAGCCAGACATGACTGAAGCGACTTAGCAAACACCACACTTTTATGCCCATGCTTTGCACATCAGCAATGCTGCAGAAAAGATACACTTTCTTGCCCCCTTATAAACAAGACATTTGCCAAATTAGTTATTCAATTTTGCCAGTTTAGAGTAGGCATTACACATCTAAACTCTTTATAGGATCCAGACATCCCAGACTATTTACTTGGATAGGTGGCATAAGTCTCAGTTTTCTCATCTGTAAGATAGAGACAACAATAATACCTTCTTCATGAGATAACCATTACTTTCAGAGATGCTGAGTTAAGCGTTTAGTATAACGTCTTAACCTACGATGTCCTCTGAAACTATTGCTTATTATTACCAAATTCATTTTACTAAAGAAAGACATTTCTTTTCCCTAAAAGATAATGCTTTAGTTTTTCATGCATTGTTCACTTAGAAATACTAGCATGTCGGCAGTGCCTAGTACTATTCATTTTAGAAAGAATAGGAAGAGAGATTTTAGCCCTCTGCAACCATTTCAAGTAGTCTCTTTAACAAAAACAACAACACTCTGTCGTTTAAATCCTTCAATATTCACATGTGCCTGGTGAATTGAGAAAGATACTTCATCCTCCTTAGATCTTAAAACCAAAATGTGCTCAGCTGCAGACCAATTATGATATTCAAGTATTTTCAAGACTGCTGAATGGAAAATGTTGAACTGTACTTCTGTGATTAGCTTCATTGATTTCTATAGAAATGCAGCACTTAACTTCAATCTGTATTGTAGTTCAGTAGTTCAGAGAAGTTTACTGTTCCTTTGAAATTCACAGGAAATATATAGTACAAAGCCAGCCTTGCAAGGGTTACAATGATGATTTACCAAAGCTAGACATTTCAGGATCATCTGTAATTTGTCCCCTAATTTTAACACATTAGGCCATCTCATAACCCAGATATGTGTTTTCAGTCTTACCTTACTTACAGATTATACTGTGCAGTTACTTGCAAACAACTATTGATTACTTTAAAAAATAAATAGGGATCCATTACATTGGAGTCTCCACTGTTTCTTTTGCTCAGAAATGTTTTACTGTCTTCTAGTTGAAATAGTGATGTCTTGGGCCTGGAACATGATATCTATTCACTAAAAAAGTATGGAGGCTTTTAACACAATCAAAAACTTAAGTAGAAACATGGTGGTTAACAGGGCCTCAGCAATAACAGACATGGGAATTTGTGAACCTTTAACTTAATCTATTTTCTATCTATGCATCTATTTCTCTGGTGTCTATGATCAAAATTACGTAAGCCAGCTCTCAGAAATATTAGAATTCTAACATAATAAGTTAGGGAAAGAAGTTTTTCCCCTGTTCCTTTTTGACTGGAGCTGTATTTGGGTATGTATTAGCGTTAATATCTATATCTATATCCAATATCTATAATGTATCCTGAGCCTGTAGGGGAATCGGTTCAAAATTTTAAAGGCTAAATATTCTTGCTTAACTTACCTTCACCTCAGGGTGAGTCTTTCCTGGCCACTCAGGAGGAATTTGGCTAATCATCTGTTTTCAATAACTTAATGGTCATGGTGGTTATAGTCTGAAAGGTATTTCTAATTATATAGAAGAACAACAGTATGAAGATTGTTCTTCGATCTTCCAATGTCAAAGCAAAGCTATTTATGGAGATAACAACTGAATGCTGTGCACACTTCTTCTTCTTGAAGGCTGTTCTCTAAGGCAGAATTATCCAAAATAGCCAACTCATCCCTCCTTTCAGCAATTCCAAAATTATAGAGCCAGTGATCAATAGTGTGGTGAGTAACTAATAGTTCCAATATATTTTGAAATATTGTTTTCAAACATTTGCACAGATTGATGTTGAAAGTACAATTTTTTTCTGTGTTATTTTTCAAAACTCTTCTGATAAAATATGGATTTAGTTTTGTTATGGTATCAGAAATACTCATAATTTTAAAGTAAAATTTCAACCATCTCCTCTATTGTCTCCCTGGGGTTCTACTTCCTCTGCTTCTGCTATAAGTTCTTAAAACAGTATCTAAGTAGCTAGTTATTGGCCCTTCTGCCTCTGCCCTGTGAACTGGACTCAATCTGTAGTCAACTGAACCATCCATGTAAAAGTGAAGGTCAAGGATTGTCAAATGTAGCTGATTCTAAGTTTGGTGAATTCTGGGGTTTATTTTCACCTTGATTATTGTTATAGAGGTAATAGAAAATGGTCATCAGATTTAATCTTTCAGAATTCTTTATGTATAAATAAAAAAAAATCCTCAGGCTTCTGTAGGGTTCCATCAAGTTGAATAAACACATTATATAAGTAGTCATTTCATAGAAGATTTAGGACAATGCTTTTCTGATTTTTCATTTAAGAATAATAAAATGTCCTTGTTTGAAAAATGTACATTATGTTTATAGGAATATGAGTAAGTTATCTAATTCATTCAGCCACTCATGCATTCAATCAACACGTATATCTACATTCAACAAATATGTCACATATTCATCTTTCTGGTAACAGAAGAGCCTTTCATTCCAACAGAAGAGACTGAATTCTCTTGATGAGCTTGTTTTTTTCTTTTGTCTTCTACTTTAGATTTTAGATAATCAGAGCTAACCTCTACAAAATATTATATTTTTCAAAAAAATTATAATTTTTCATGGGATTGGAAGTCCTAAATCTTACTTTTATCAAGAATTGTTCTAATCTGGCTTGGCTGTCTTTGTTTTTCTTGTCACTGTAATGACATTATCCATTATTGGAGGGTTATTGTAAGTGGACACCATAAAAAAGCAAACTACTTCACTTCTGAGCCCATCAGTGTTTTTTCAAGTCTTCAAATTATTGATAATATTTGTCATGTATTTGTTCCAATAGCACATTAATATGCTCACACAAGGTAGATATTTTGTTTTTATATTTCCTCCCATTTGCTTGGACTGTCAAATACAAATCTATGTACTATGTACTAGTACAATATTTTGAATGGTAGTAGAAAAATTTCTTCAATCTCTCTGTCATCAAGCCATGGCCAGAGAACAAATGTCAGAGCATGACCATAAATACAATGCAAACACACCTTATAAGACTAATATCTGTTTTCTTATAAGATTATATTTCACAATCTGTTGACTCTGGCAATTCCCTCATGCCCAAAGACAATCCTCAAGGTATACCCCAAAGTGTCCCTCAGTTGTTTCTGAAAAGTGTAAGAAATACTCACAGGAATTGTAAAATTTGACCGTCATCTTGCTTTCAACTCATCTCAGGCGCCAGCTGTAAAATTACTCTCTTATTATTCTCTGCTCTCTTTGGTTGGCAACTGGTAAAATCCATTTGTCACAGATGAAAATCCTCCCATTGAATCAATTCAAGAAGGTCAACATATTGGCTTTCTGACCAAAATAAATAAAGAAGCCTAATTCTTAAATTAAAAAATTAGGTAGCACTGCAGAATGTTAGAAGAAAAAGTACTCAAGGACCACAGCTTTGCAAATCTTCTGAAGGATTTGAAAGAAATGTGTAAATGGAGAATTAGCTAAGCCAACAGGCTTAAGTGGTGATGATTAAAAATCTTAACTGTTTTCTTACAAAGGAAATGGAACTCGATGTTTAGAAAGCTTTATCTTTCTATGAAAAAAATCAATAAAATCATTTTATTATGTACTGCATTGGTGAAAGGGGCTAAAATCTAGGTGAAATTAAAAGTGAATCAGTTTTCTTTTACAAAATTGTGGATGACAGTAAGAAGCAAAGTTCATCCTGTTTTAGTCAGGAGGTCTGGGGGACTCTGGAGCAGAAGGTTGCTCAGAAATGTCTGAGATTGCCAGCAGTTAACTTACAGGAATAAAACTTTTTTGGTATAAGTGATTAGATTCTCTGGACTTCAAAGAGAGTTGGGGCATCTTAATTACTTTGAATATAACTACTCCAGTTAAAACAAAAGTTCAAGGTGAAAACATAGTATAATTAAGCAGTATTATTTCAATCTTGAAACTGAAGCTTTATCTTATCACTGCAATACTCTGTAATGGAAACCTGAACTTGTGTTCATCAGTATTTCTGATTAAAAATAGAGAAATTGTGGGGTTTTTCAGAGCCTTACTTTTATTTTTTAATGAAATGTCATGACCATGATTTAGATAGAAATATTTTGCAAGGGATAAAAGGCTTTTGAAATTCTAATAAACACAGGCTAACTTCTGAGATTTATAACTTATGGAACTTTTTGTGCATAAAAACATTTAGGTTAATTTATTTCAATAAATGATTGAATTGTTCTGCTGTCACTGCCTCAGATGAGCCTGCTTGGGCTTCTTTTCCATAAAGTGCACTTAGTGATTAGCTTAGTATATTTAAATACAATTTGTGCTGAATAAGCAGAACTGAAGATAAAGTAGCTATAAACAACTAACTGAATAACACGGCTATAACAATGCAAAGGAGAGACACAAAGCTGAGAATTGAAGAGACAAGAGAATTGCAAGCTTTGAATATTGATTCTGGATTCAGGCTCACAGCAAGTGTATCTGTCTGTCTCACTTGTTTGCTTCATAGTTTTAGCCAGGCTGAAAATGACACAAAGTTTTCAAATGATATGAATATTATAATCATTTTAGTGTATTTAGTGCATTTGGCCTATAGGTCATCCTAGCAACCCCTGTTGCATAAAAGATAAATGTTGGAGAGTTTCTAGACAAGGTCAAAACATGCAAGAGAAAATGGAGTTCATACATTTAAATCCCAAACCAGTTTGACAGCTTGTCAGACTCTAGTTCAGACCCAAGTTCTTCCGTGTTACTCTGTAGTGGAAAGCATTCATAGTTTGGTACAATTCTAAGGCAATTTAGGTGGCTCCAGTTCTAAGAGGCCGTTCCAAGGTGCCTTGTGCTTCTGATTCAACCTGAAGAATAGAACAGAGAGTGAAACTTGGCTCAAAAAATGATCTAAAGTAAGACTTTATCTAGAGTTGACACAGCCTGGAACTTGTCTATGTAGAAATTCTTGAGATTCTCATTTCCAGAAAGTACCAGCACCTAAAGTACCAGCGTAGATCCTGAGAGTTTGTGCTAATAGCCACGAGAAGATCCAAGATACCTGGCTGCACCTGAAAGATTTTTTTCCTCTCATGAACTTCTGTCATTGTTCATACCCTCTGGCTGAATACTCAGAACTTATATAAATATCAATGGATTTATTTTTTTACAGTTGAATTAGAGAAAGATTTATACAAACTGAAGAGACATTAGAACATGAGAAGTATGAAAGTAATGCACCAAGGACCAAAGTTCCTGAGGATTAAAAATAGAATTATTGTAAATCTATGAATGCAGAAGACAAAGTAAAATAGGTTTAAACCAAACTGTAATCTGTTTTAGCCTTTTCTTAAATCATTTTTTATCCTGTATATTGATTATTTTCAAAATAAAAGGAAGTAAAAATAATTCTTACATATTGGAACAGTGCAGGAAACTTGTTCTGTTCTCTCTTTGTTTATAGACAAAATGTATAAAGTGCAAAAGTGCTGACAAAGAGATTTCATGGAGCTCAATGCTCTGATTTAGATTCTACTCAAAAGCAGTCTACTTTTTGGCAAGAGACCTACTTCGAAAGACAAAAGGTCATTATTTTTTTTCTCCTGGAAATTCTTTGTTCTTTTCTGACTTTTTAACCCATTGCCCATCTCCTTTGCTAGCTATTTCTGGTTAGTTAAATACTTAATTTGATCATGCTTAGAATCCCTTGGACAGAGGAGCCTGGAGGGCGACAGTCCATAGGATCGCAAAAAGCCGAGGACACAGCTGAAGTGACTTAGCAAGCATGCACAGCACAGTGAGAGATCAAACTAGTCTGGTTTTCTCCTTTTGGATCATTTACTGCAAAATGTTCTAGATCCTACAAATTACAGGATTCCTCTGACAATCATACACACAAGGAGCATCTTTTACCATGTTTTCTCTTTAAACTTCCTTACAAATACTGGAGAGTGAAAACCCGTACACCGGGCAATCTATTGATCTCTATGACATAATTAGCTATCAGTCTCCTGGCATGTTGTTAAATATGCTTTGGGTAACACAAGTATACATCGGTGTATATATATGTGTATGTATTAGTTGATCAGTTGTGTGGGACTCTTCATGAACCCATGGACTGTAACCCGCCAGGCTTCTCTGTCCATGGGACTTTCCAGGCAGGAATATTGGAGTGAGTTGCCATTCCCTTCTCTAGGGGATCATCCCGACCCAGGGATAGAACCTAGGTCTATGGCATTGTAGACAAACTCTTTACCCATCTTAGCTATCAAGGACGCTACCAAGGAAGCTCTCTCTCTCTTTCTCTTTCTCCCTCCCTCTCTCTCATTATATATATATATATATTTTTATAGACACACACACACACACACACAGAGGTGTGTCAGGAGAGTGGCAAAGTGGCTCAGTGGTAAAGAATCTGCCTGCCAATGCAGGAGACGCAGCACAAGATGCTGGTTGGATCCTTGGGTTGGGAAGATCCCCTGGTGTAGGAAATAGCAACCTACTCCAGTATTCTTGCCTTGAAAATTTCATGGACGGAGGAGCCTTGTGGGCTACAGTCCATAGGTGGTTAACAGTCAGACACGCCTAAACACATAGCAGGAGACACACACATAGACACACACACACACAGAACAAGGCTTTTCTTCTGGCTAAAAAAAAAAAAAAAAAAAAAAAACTCAAGACTGAAATTACAATAATGTCTTAATTTGCTACACTTTAACTGTTAGATGACTCAATTTGTCCTAAAATTCTTTCTGTGTAATAATCACAGTATATTGACATAATTAGTTTCTTTAGCAAATGCATAGACATTTGATTTTGTTGAATTTTTGTTTTATATGTTAGTAATGTGTTTGGTGCTTGTGGTGTGTATGTTCTCTCTCTCTACTGAACATACATCTTATAGTTCTTAAGAATTGTTTCTACTTGATGTATATCATCATTTTTCATGCAGTTTTATGTCAATATAACTGCTCAGAAACCATCAACTCATCATAGACAGAGATACCCGTGAATTCTTAAGTTGAAAATTTAAAAAATTATTCTAGCAAATACAAGTTAAATGTTACTGTAGTTCTTAAATGTCTCAATAATAAAATGATTTGTATTACAAAATAAGATGTGGAAAAGAGAGAAAAATTAAAACAGCTAAAAATCCCAGCCCCCCATCACTGTTGATATTCTTTCTTTGTATTTTCTTCTAGCCATTGCATTCTAAAACAAACAGTTTTCTTTATGAGTTTATTTGTACCTATTATGAACACACAATAGATATGAGAGTAAGAATCTCCAGTTGCATAGGAAGTTTGAGGCCACTCAGCAGAAGTGGCTCAGTGGAAATGAATCTACCTGCCAATGCAGGAGACACAGCTTCTATCCCTGGGTCAGGAAGATTCCCCTAGAGAAGGACATGGCAACTTACTCCAGTATTCTTGCCTGGAGAATTCCATGGACAGAGGGGCCTGGCAGACTACAGTTCATGGGGCTGCAAAGAGTCAGACACGGCTGAGCACATAGCATAAGTTTTGGTGCCCTGTATGTAAATTGTCCATCATCTCTCTACTATCTGTAACCAGAATTGGTGACCATTATAGTCTCTGGTCGCATACAGTGCTGAACCTTTTCTAGTCTTGCTCTGTTAAGTGTTCAAATGGAAAAAAAAAAAAAATTAGTGAAAACAATCTTTGACACCAAAATTGAATTGCTGTATTAAGCTACCTCTAAAACTCACATCCTTCAGCCCTTTCAGTTATATGTAAACCAACAAATTTCCTTTTATTATTGAAGCCCTGTTATCTATGCCCTTCCAATTTGCATAACTGAATAAGCAATTGATCTGATAAACTGGTTTGTGGCATGTTATATATGAAAATAATGAAGAGAGCTAATGTGACTCATCCTCCTGGGTGAAGTTCTGCATTTTCAAGGAGGACTTCTGGTGCTGGTAGTTTCTCTAATGCAAACCAGGAACAAAGATTCCCTGCAGGATATTTCTGAATAGATTAGCAGTACACTTTGGGCTCTCGTTGGGTATCAAACCCTGTGCGAAGATTCTGTGGTACTTCTGAAGAATACGCAAAGTCCTGATTTTAGCTCCATGAGAATTTAATATTAGGAAAGTTTTACATACATGTCAGTACAAACACAAGTGTTGGAGGAGTCGGGGTGTAATACGAAAGGCTATGAAGTCAAAGTCAAACATACCTGCATCTGAATCCGGCTTTAGGACTTTCCAGGTTTGGGACTGCAGAAGAATTAGAGCCTCAGTTTCCTGCATGTGCAAAGAAGCAACAGGATTATCACAAGAGATAATGCTTATTGAATGCTTCCCATGTGCCAGGAATGCTCTTTATTACCGTGGATATTTTAACTCAGTTATTCCTTATAATAAACTTGAGAAGTAAACATTTCCCCCCATTGTACAGATATTGGTTGTTAGAGGATTAAATAACCTGTCCCAGGTCAAAAAATAGCAAGTGAAGAGGCAAGGATTTGATCCCAAGCAGTCTGATTCCAACATCCAGTTTCTCTGGTTTCTTAAGCTCTCTTCTGCACTGCCTTCTGAGGCTTCTATGAAAATAAATGAAATGATATACATACGCTATCTAGAAATGTGCAAAGCCATAACTTTTAAATATTCTGATAACCTGATGAACTGAAACATTTGCAAAAGAGAAGATTCAACTTGAAAGTGTAATTGGACTTATGACTTAGAGTAAAAAACAGTGAAAAAAATTTTCTTCAAGATGAAAAGAACATTTATCTAAACTTTACTACATTTCTCTGGATGTGAAATTCTTCATTCCTCTTGAAGTACTTTAATTCTATTCCAAATCAGCTTCATGCTCTGTCTTCCAGATTATATTATTAAGAGTTTTAAACGTAAAATCAGAGGTAAGTTCACTCCTTAAAAATAGTATTGCTGAAAAAACATATTTTACCATTGATTTGGCACAGAATTTAAAAAGGCAAGGATTATTATGACTCTCTTGTTTATATTCTTAATCAGCAATGTTTATTCACTTAGCAAACATTTATTTATTAAGCAAATCAACATGATGGGCTAAAATGATTGTCTAGAAATTGGTAGTTGAATTAATTATACCAATCAAGTTGATTCTCACAAGTTTGCTAAGAATTCTTGGATAAAGACATCTCTCTCACAGTCAGTGGTATCCTGTGAATATGAAGTCCTCAGAGCTTCCAGAAAACAGATTTCCATTTTGACTACAGCTTACCTTATCATGAAACCAACCCCTTACATGCCAGCATGATCAGATGGAAAAAAGTTGTAGGAAAAACTACTCTTTATGTTATCACTGAATTTCTGTATTAAGCCATCCCTGAAACTCCATTCACCAGCCCTTTCAACTCTATGTGATCCAATAACTTTCTTTTTATTATTTAAGCCAGCTGAATTTGGATTTTATTTCTTAGAAATAATAGATTTTGTATTGCTATAGCTAACTTCCTAAAGTTAATGTGATCTTAAGTTTTTGTTTTTGATCACCATGAGAATGCACTAGCATGGTGAGTTGCTGTTAGTACCAGGTGTCCCTAGCATATATTTTTAGCTCCCCTGCAGCTTATTGTTACTCAGCTACTTTGCCACAAAAGATCTGTTAGTTAGCTGATTTGCCAACATTTTTGGTTTATATATGCAGGTTTTGTCATTTGTTTGTTTTACTTTGTTTTATTGCATTTGTTTTGTTATGTTGTTTGCTGATATGACTGCCAAAAAGGAATACAAGTTTGGACAAATGTCTAAATAGTTTTATAGTTTGTTGTAATGGTTCAACCAGAAATAGCACATTTGATAACAAGAGAAAGAATAATAAGAAATCGTGGACAGATGTCTTTGAAGAATTATTTTAAAATATTGCACTCTTTCTGCTATGGTTGAAATATTCGACGAAGTACTGAGTGTATGAGGGAAAACAGTTAGCAGAGTGGGGTGAGGGGTGATATTATTTCTCTAATTCTTCTGATTATTCAGCATTCCTCCCCCACAGTGGCTTCACCCAATTTCACTAAACCTCTTGGTCTTCCTCAATATGTCAGGCATGTTCACAACGTCTTGATTTTTGCGCTGACTCTTCCTTCTGTCTGTTAGACATCTGGATTAATGATGCTCTTAATTTTTGTTCCTCTAGATATTTATATAATTGTCTCCCCAATCTTTTTTTAAAAAACTTTATTCAAATATCTCTTTTCTATGAAGTTTCCCCAGCCAACTACTTAAAACTGTAAACATTCCCTTACAAGCCAGTGATCTCTACTTCCATGGTTTACATTCTCTATAGCGTTTGTCACATTAAACATATTACATGCTATGTCTCTTTGTCTGCACCTACTAGAATATAACCTTCGTGAAGGTAAAAGTCTTTTGTTTTGCTCAGAGCTGTTCCCCCAATACCCACAGGAACCCCTGACACTTAGTAGCTTTTAAGTACAAGTTTGCTAAATGTAAAAATCTGACCTTGTATTAAAACTAAGTCGTTTTGTATTCCTAGGTGTCAAGCTTGAATAAAGTCTCTAAGAAAAGTAAAAATTAAGAAGATAGATGTATCTATATGTGAAAAAAAAATAGGACTGAGAGGGGCTCCAATCGAATTCCTAGACCAAGGAAACGTGCTTAGAATTTTGAGAAAAACAAGCATGCATTATGTGGCACGGGTAGGAATCAGGACTTTGTACAGTAGAATGTTAACATATTGTGAGAAAGTGTCTGAAAAGTGTAGCTTCTTTGTGAATAAAGCAGATTAATGAGGAATGCCTGAAAATTTGCATCTGCCTCAACCTGCCGTGGTGACCCAGGAGCCCTCAAGGAGAAAATATTGTGCAATAACTACTACATGGGAGGGCAGAGGAAAAGTGATGTTTGGATTAACCTCACTCTTAGAAAAAAAATCACAGGCCAAGATTCAAAGGGAAGTTTCCAATTCTTGTTTTCAGAAAGGAATCAAGAAGCCACCATCAAGGGAATAAGTCTGTAAGAACTTTGTACATGTCTATAACCTTCATCACTTTCCCACGTTTGTTATTTTTATCTCTTAAATATTTTCCCCAGAGGAATTAACAGTAAAATACTTAAAACAAAAGAAGTCTTTGTGATTCTGTCAAAGGTAAGTAAATAAAGGGTCAAACTGGCCAGACTTCACAAGTCTCTGCCTTCCTTCTGGGTAGATAGCAAAACCCCAAACGATAGAGTGGGCGACAGCAGTTATTGAAAAGAGAGGAAAATGGACAAGAAGGAATCTTGCCAGCTTGCAGCAAGAAAGAAAAGAGCCCAGTATGAGATGGGTTCTGGGGAGGTGCTGTAGAAACCTTTGGGATTCTTGGCATTTAAAATTTTATCACCTCTAAAAGATAGAGTTTATAAATAAATAGTTTCAAAATCATTTTAAGATATATTCCTGGTGTAACTAATTTATAAATGAGCAATTTAAGTAAATGAGGAATGTTTGGGATTCTTTTTGGAGCGTGATGTTTTCCCAAGCATCTCCAAAAGCCTCAAATATACCTTGATGAGTATCAGAGGCCAAGTCATAGACTGGCAAGATGATTAAATGGTTTGACTGAGTATGACACATGTGACCTTCTATGATTATGTTGAATAACTGTTTTTAAATGAATATACCCATGGAAATCTAGGCTAGGAGATCCCTTGGTAGAAGGAAGTATTTTTAAATAGGACAAAATATCAAATGCATTTGATAATGAAGTAAAATTTTGCATCTTGTCTCTGAAGATGTCCAGAAAAATATGCACACCAAAATGGCTACAAATGTCATCACTACCTCTTGCCAAGTTTACTGTATGCATAAATAATGATGTATCTCTATGCAATTGATTTTAACCTATGCTCTAATATTTAATAAGTGCACAGTATTTAATTATATGATAACCTCTATTAATATTTCCATTTCTCTCTGATTAATAGACTAATGATTCTGAGTCTCTTGATAGTACATGACTCACTTGCGTTCTGTCTCCTGGCATTTACATCTTGATAATACACTGCAGATGATCGACAGCCTGCATTTCAAACCTTTGCTCCCATATAAGCTCACCAGTAAACAACTGTGTCTACTGACTTCTTATAGCACAAAAAAGTAAGACAGCAAGAAATGAGGTGAATAAAGAAGGTCTCACTCAGACCTGTTGCTTCATTTTGAAATAAGTCCACCATAAAATGATGAGATGTCCCGGATGGCCGGCTAGACACATTCCTTGAATGATGAGACAGGTCTCCAACAATAGGGAAGTGTTCTATCAATCCCTGAATGCTGTAACAATATACACATGCAAACATTCCGTCCCCACTGAGAATTTCTGGTAAAATAATTTGGCTGACTCTCCAAGTTCAAACAACTGCAGATGCATTCCAATGTGTCATTTTCAATAAAGACAGGTGGCCTGCTGATTCTTCATACCGGAACTCTGCTCTGTGCTGTGAAAGCAATGTAAGCTGCAGTTTAGCCATACATGCATATAAAGAATTTGTGACATAAATCAAAGCCTCTTCAACTATTTTTATATCAAGCATTCTTTTTCCTGCACCCTTCATAGAGTTACAGAGTAATTCTTATAAAGTATTCTTAAAGAGTAACTCTTTTATTCCCCAGGAGTATTAAAATTTTAGTCAGCTACCTTCATGAATGTTGCAAATGTTCTCACTAGCAACAAAATTAAGCAGGCAACATTAATTCGCAGATGAACTATGCTGTGTTCACATTCCAAACCTAAATGACACTATTCTTTTCATGTTTGTCTTTTCATGTTTGCCTCTTCATGTGGTACCACTTACAAACCCATCTTCATGTTCCTATTATAACTACTTTATGCTTTTTGGAGAAATCTTCTAGAAAACCAAGCAGGTATAGTCAAAAGTAAAGGCAAATTGTGTGAGAAGCATACAGAATAGATGTCTCTGAAGTTATAATGCCGTCTCTTCTGGTTATTCTTCAAACCATTGGCGCCAATTTTCTCTTTTGTGTGGTAAATTTTGCCCTAAACTTGCCAGTGAATTAAGATTACTAGCTGCACAACACAAAACAGATTATAATGCTGACCCCTTGTCTTGATAAAGAGTTTATTGCTAGACTAAAAGAAATAATGCTGCCTTAGAGAGGCTCTGGTTCTAGGACCCATCTCTAGAGGGAAAAAATTATTTGTAAGCCTAACACATGTGATAGAAGATGACTGGCACACATATCGTCTATTTTTTAAATCATAAATATTAAAAAAAAAAATAAAAAAATAAATCAGAAATATTTCTTACAATTTTAAAGCCGAAACATTGTCCTCAGCTTCTTTACAAGTTCTCTTTCCTATACTCATGCCGTGCCATGCTAAGCTGCTTCAGTCTTGTCGATTCTTCGTGATCCTGTGGGCGGTAGCCCACCAGTCTCCTCTGTCCATGGGATTTTTCAGGCAACAGTACTGGAGTGGGTTGCCATGTCCTCCTCCAACAGAATCCGCCTTCCCGACCCAGGGATCAAAACCGACGTCTCCTGTGTCTCCTGCATCGCAGGTGGATTCTTTACCATTCAGTCACCGGGGAAGCCCTTCCTATACTCAGGCCCTGAGCGTCCTTACACGCTCTTACCGTGAACTCTCAGTATAAGTTCCGGGACTATGATAAAGACATTCTACTTGAAATATGCAGTTTACATAAATAGCTTATTGAGAGGTCTTAATTGATATGAATATATTTTTTTCCCAATCTCTGCTATCAGTCATGCTGTATTATATTTCAGGGCTTCAACTCCCAATGAGAATAGGACAGTCCTCAAATCTCTGGATGCTTTTGACAATTAAAACATGGTTCAAATTGGTTTAAAACCTCGGTCATGTAACTCTGTAGAGCTTCATAGCATTCTTCCTCTTCCAACAGTGGTTGAGCTTCTGGGCGTGAGGAATGTGAGTGGAGCGAGAAGCGTCCATTTCGCTTTACACAGCTGCCTTCTGCTGCCATTTTGGATGCTGGGTTAGGGAAGAGAGACGAGGGGAAGAGGGCAGACATCTTGTTTTAACAGGGCAAGAGTGTTGCTGTTTCTTTGGCTTGCGCTCACTGGCAATGCCTTTTGCCTCATCACTGTTTGAATGTGGAGCTTCATGGGTTGCAGGCGTGCTCTTTGAGTGGCCCAGTGACCACCCAAACTCAGCTCTTCAACTCCTAAGTAGGAGTGTATGTGCTCTCTACATCCAGCATGGGGGTGACCTAACTTAGGTGACGGACCAGCAATACCGCTTTAGTTCAGTTAATGTTCCATGGCTCCAGACTCAAAGGAAATTCAAATATCAGTACCCTTGCTAATCAGAGATTGGTAGTTCTGGCTGAACTGGAACAACAAGTTATCTAGCATCTTTCCTTTTCAGCTTTGACTTTGATGTAAAAATCAGATTGAATACCCTATAATATTTAAATTTAAAAACTGCATGAGACACTATATAAAGTAGCATCAAATTGACTAGGGTAAATGACAGCTCCGCAATTTAGTATCTGTGCAACATTAACTAAATCACAACATCTCTGAGCCTAGGTTTCCTCAAATGTAAATTGCATAATGATAGTCCCTCCTACAAGGTTAACTTACTTATATGGATATTGACAGGTTAACTATATGCACAAAAAGTTATTTTTTGAAGTCCAGATATCTGTTTATGCATTAAGGTTAAAATTGCAGAAATATTTAAAAAGAATAAAATTTTTATTTCTGAAATTATTTCACACCTAGATATTTTACACAAAGCTATGCCTTCTCTCTGAATGTTTTCCAAATAGATTTTATAATACTTCTCACTTCTTGGGAGAAACTGTAATTTTGAAAATGATGTAAGCATATCAGCATTTTCTAGAGCAATGAGTCTCAATTTTTAGCTAAGAATTACTCACATATATGTTCTCAATGCATTGATCTAGGCGCACCTTCAGATATTCTGTTTTAATAGAACTACAGTGGACCATGAATCTGTGTTTTGACAAACAGCCATTGCTTCCTAAGAAATTTGAAGCAGGTGATCCCTAGACTACACTTAGAGAAACATTGTTTTAAGACAAATGCCAAACTCTCACCAATGGATTCCTGTGAATGTTTGCAACTATATATATCTTATAAGGAATGTCTTACATGATAGAAAAGAAAAACCACAGGATTGACTTGTATGACAAAGTGTGCCTTGATAATTGACTCTATAGTTATAGAAATTATATTTTCAAATAATTACAGCACTGTATACTTATGCACAGGCAACTCTATTATAAAAGCAGAGTTTCTTAGAGGTATAGAGGAGGAAATTGGCCTTGAAAGCAATGAAGCACTGAATTATAACTATATCTAAGGGAAAAATCACAAATCCTTATTTCTGTTGTCTAAATAATGGACACTTAATAAAAGAAGTAAAATCTGTAAAAGCAAATTAATTTTTCCTAAGCATACTTTCTTAGAAAAAATTATTACATTTTATCTCTATGCTAAATACAATGGCATATGCAAAATCATATGCTAGCAGGTGCTATGCTAATTATTTGCCTGGAAAGTTTTAGATCCTTGATTTAAATTTATAAATTTTCTTTTCCTCTGTCTCTGCCCCT